TTAATTCAAGGTCGTTTGTTGTGAAGAAAATGTCTCGTATTCCTGGTGTTGGGATGTGTAAAATCGTTTGATGTTCAAGTGTTGACGATGCTTTGAAACTGTCTGGTTCTATTCGGTTGGAATAACTTGTCACTCGAAAATGTAATGTGATGTAGTTATTAGTTCCAGAGTTCTACATTCAATAGAGGTCTTGGATGGCCAATACAGCTATCGGACTACGGTAAACTTTGGCGTGCCCCAAGGAAGCGTGTTGGGGCCTACTTTGTTCGTAATCTACATTAACGGGCTATGCTCAACTACACTCCCCCAGGCTAAAATATTTACATATGCCGATGACACCGCCATAGTCTTCAGTGGTAAAACTTGGGAAGAAGTGCAAGCCTGCGTAGAAACTGGGCTTCAGGTAGTGGCAAACTGGCTTCAACACAATCTGCTAACATTAAATATTATAAAAACAAAAGTAATTAACTTTGCAGTGTCGAAACGCTCTGCCCCAAGAGTTAACACTAACGTCCAGCTACATTCGTGCAATAGTAACAACAGCCGTTGCACCTGTCCACATCTGGATCAGACAGATTGCCTCAAATACCTCGGTGTTCATTTGGACAACAGACTGAACTGGATGACACATCTGAACTACCTGAGCAGTAGAATAAGGAAGCTGGTATACATCTTTAAGCGACTTGGCAAGATTGCTGATGATACAACTGTAAAAATGGTGTACTTCTCCTTGTGTCAGTCTGTTGTCCAATATTGCATTCCATCGTGGGGCATTTCTGCCGTGCGTGATTTGATACGTGCTTTGATAAAAGTAGCATACAGGCGACCATTTCGGTACCCCACTGATCAACTGTACTCCGATGTGTCAGTGCTAAGGGTAAGACAGCTATACATACTTGGTATTACTGTACGGTTCCATAAAACTTCGCTGAACCACTGTGCTCAGAGTCACTCTCACCGGAAAGTAAGATGGGACAGAATTAAGTGTTATAAATCTATAGGAAGAAAATCTTTTGGTTTTATGGGACCATACATATATGGGAAAATAAACAACCTACACAATATCATCAAAACAACCAAAAATAAATGCAAAAAATTAGTGACTCACTGGCTCCTTACGCTGAATTATAATCAAACGGAAGAATTTATTAAAATCCTAGAGTAGATGTACGCATATAAACACACACACACACACACACACACAAATTATGTTGATTGTTCTAGTTTAGGTTTAAAGTACTAGAATTAAGTTTTTTTATTTTTATTTTATATAAACGGATCGCAGAGCCTAGGTCCTACAACACAGGGAATCCTAGTGTAGGATCTAGGGTATAACCATAATGTAAAATACTTTTTAGTAATAAACAATTTTTCATTTTTTTTTCATTTTTTTTAATAATATATTATGTAAATATTCAATAATGGTAGATTCGTTCGGTTCGTTTAAACTCAAGTGTCAACTTACAGTTACCACATCTATACTATATATAATAATATTATAAAGAGGTAAAATTTGTAAGTTTGTATGTAGGGGGTAATCTTTGGAACCGCTGGTCGGATTGCCAAAATTCTTTCACTGATAGATATCTACAATGTTCCTGAGTGTCTTACTACTTATATCAACTGCTAAGTGCAATTTATTCAAACGTTAACGTGAAGGAAACGTTAGCACATATGTGTAGCCTTGGTGCCTGATTGTTTGGTTAACTCGGAACTGGCCAATTAGAGCTCCGAATGTTATATTTTATTTAAACAAACTTCCTCATAAAATGGCTCTTATATCATGGTAATTAGGCGCATACCTACTAGTGATGTTCCGAATATCCGTATCCGTATCCGTATCCGCGGATATCCGAGGAAAAATAAAAATCCGTATCCGTATCCGTTACTTTACACGCGGATCTTTTACGGATCTTTTTCAGTTAATCATCAGGTAGAAATAAAAAAAAATCCAGCTAGTTTTTTTTAAATAATCATATATTTTGCAGCTATATATTGCAAACATTTAGATACATAGATTTATATAATAAGAACAAGTTAAAAATTTACTTTTAGGACAGTGAAATAACTAAAACATAATTATTGTTTTCTATAATTAAATGAGGTCAATATCAAATCAAGTTATAATATCCTTTTATAACAATCATGGTCAAAACAAAACTTAAACTGAAAACTTCTTTTATATATAATTAGGTTCAGGAATATAATAGCAAGTTATAACATACCAAAATGATATTTTTTATGTCAATAAAAAAAACTAAAACTTAAACCTTCTGTTTATAATTATGAGATCAATACGATAGAAAGTAATAAATCACTTTTATAAGAATGAGATCACGAGGAAACCAAAAATAATTCAAATTAAATGTTAATTCTAATAAAGTAAATTAATACTATGTGTCACATAAAGTTTAAAAATTAGCTTACATGAGCAAGTAATCACAGACAAAATTAAAATTAAGTAAGGGTAAATTGTATTTCAAAAAAAGCAACTTCGCAGCTTTTTCCCCCGAAAGTCTGTTACGATGAGGATCATAAACAATTCCTGCTGCACTAAAAATTGTTCACTTGGAACGCTGGTTGCAGGTGTAGATAAATATGTACCCACACCCGCGCATTGCAAGTCAAAACATGTCGTGTCTGACGTTGCGGCGAGCGAGACGTCAACTATCTTTTCAAGTCCGCGCGCGGCCGGCGACACTAATCTTATGAGAAATTGAAGATCCGTATCCGTATCCGTATCCGCGGATCTTGACACTAAATATCCGTATTCAGATCCGTATCCGCGGATCTTCATTTTTAGCGATCCGGCACATCGCTAATACCTACCTAATGACACCTATAATCAAACTGTGACTTTTTCATTACTATTATTCACTAGCAAGTCGCTTACACGCTAGTCACTTATACGCTAAAATGCTATCCGCAAAAAGCCCAAAAGAAGAAACCTCATGTTAGTTAGTCTATGGCCGATGCGCGCGCACAGGAAATCTCATAATTTTTTACCGCCATTACGAAACATTTTTCACAACTCGTCTCGTTTTTTCTTTTGAGGGTTTTTTATATAAGTATTATTTTATTTAGAAGTAATTTAGAAGATACACATGTCACCAATATTACACACTTGTGCCATAATGTACTATTACTCATTGTCCACCAATGACGACGCTTCAAATTGCCGCCAATAAGAGTCAATAAAAAGTCCACAGATTCATAATTGACCGTGACACTGGCATTCCATAATGAGAGTAAACACCATTCCTTATCAAAACAATTAGAATTAGCTAAACAGTTGTCCATACTATTAAAGAGAAAGTTTCAATACGACTTATATCAAAACAGTCATAACTCCCAAAGCGTAATTGTCAAAGAAGATCTTAAACTAACATAATAGAGGCGGGTTTTGTTTGTTAGCTTGAAATATAGGTCGAAAAGTACAATAGTATTTTCGCAAGGAATTCGAAAGGCTTGTGCCAGGGCCAGGACGATTGTGTTCATTAGGCCCAAAATACAAGGTTTTTCGTTTCTCGTTTTATACTCTTACCTTATTACGTTCTCAATAGGGTTGGGAGACACCGGGAAGACTCCCGGGAATTATTTACTTACTTTTGAATTGAATAAGAAATCGTCAATGGTGGGATGTCGGAACTTTCTTTGCAGGGCAATATAAACGACTGGATACTTCGTGTTTGCTTTATAATTCACCAGTTTAACTGGTCCCGTTTTATCGCAGTATTTTATCATATTACTGGCATTCTGTTTATTGTTTCGTCAATATTTATTTAGAGAATATGATAGCGAGCGGTTGATAAAATTAAAGGAGTCTATATTTAGTAAGAGCTGTTTAAAAGCAAATGGGTCTAAAGTCCGTTTCCATGATCACTAAAATGTTTATACTTTGTGGTCGTTGGTTTTGGCTTTTTTTGGTATATTTTTTGTTTGACCACTAGTACCTACAGGATCAGGATAATTTTGACTAATAAGTAAATTGTGAAATATAAAAAAAATATTATGTTTTCGGCTTACTCACGTAATAATTTGACGAGATACTCGACTAGTTTCAAGCCATGCTAGAGGCCCATATTCATGAGCAGCATTCCGCGACACGTGACTCGCAGCAGCAGTAGCAGCGCGTCAGTCGCGTGTGACTCTTCTCACGAAAGTTATAATAAAAATAAAAAAAAATATATTTTAAATATTTTTTTTTATTTTTATTATAACTTCTCTTCTTAATCACTCACTCACTTGAATTAACCAAAAACTCTGTAAGATTTTCAGTTAATTCAAGTGAGTAATTCGTTATTTACAACTATTTTAGTTTAGGATAAGAAATTATGTGAAAATTAACAAAATGGCCAGCCATTTCATCATCACTTGTGAAATGAGTGTTGTGAAATGTACGGTATACCTATGTATGAACTACATAAACGAAATAAATAAAACATTATGATCGCATACATATGTTATGCTGCTCATACCACGCGATGGCTCTCATATCAGTACACATTATTTTAAAACAAAACAGTTACACAGTACAATAATATGACATCACTAGCTATTTTAAACACACCCTCATCTCATTCTCGAGGACTTTCAACTTATTATGTTGATAACTGTTCGATAAGTTTACTCTATACAACAAATTGCTCGATATCATCAGTCAAGATAATCCGAAACGTTCGGAAATATTCCAATCTTTTCATACGCGTAACAGATAAAAATACTACATACTGTGTTTTTTTTTCTACAACTGATAACTGTTGTTTACTCTAAAAATAGAATTCTTTATTTGAAATTTAAAAAAGTTCTCTTTTTTTTAAAAAAAAATATATTATTTGTATTTATTTTTCTATTTCATTTAAAATGAATATGATTTTGTAATTAAATGAAAGTTTTTTTGTTTATTTTTCGAATTGTTTAGAATTTGTAATGTGATCGATGTGATAAAATATGGACATCACATTGCGGATGGTGCATGCTACAATATAAAAAGAGGTCGGATATCGGACTCCAGTTCAGTTGTTATTGTAACTCAAACCCGGTGACTGCTACCTATAAATAGAATACTATAAAAAATAAAATATTAAACAAGAATTAAAGGTACGTTTATTTAATTTTCTTTTTAAAAAACATTTTATTTATTTGTTTAATGTTAGAAAAATTTCGTTAAACACATGTGATCATCTTCACCTTGAAGGAATTAGTACTCGTACTATTTTTAGCTAGGCTTCGGTGACAACAGCTGATTTTGTTGTTGTTTCTTGTTACTCATTTTTTATTTTAATGTAATATTTTTGTCGATTTAAATGAATGCATACATTTTTTCGTATTATTGTAAAATAAATGTACTTATACATTTAAACAAAATTTAAAAAACTGGGTTTTGTTTATCGTCGTATATTATAACTGATAGATTGGTAAAATTAAAATTTTAAGTCTCTTTTTTTATTATTAGATACATATCTACACATAATTTCTTTTTAAATCGGAGCCGGCAATATACGTAGCATTTGAATGAGAGATGGCTTGAAAATATGGTTATGGAACTGTTGCTATTATAATTCAGAATTTTATTTATAGATTTTTCACCTTTTAGTACTCCTGTCTTTTTTAGAGGCTGAAAAGTAATTGTATACGGTCAAGGCCAAATGCGGACATTAATGAAATTAGATTTAACATGTAAACGATTTAAATTGTTTAGATGACGGACGAGCAGGGATATCTTAAACCGAAGCCAGGGTTCGCGACCACAGCTGTCCACGCTGGTCAGAATCCTGACAAATGGAATGGAGCTGTGGTGCCACCTGTCGTGATGTCCACTATGTACAAACAGGCTCCTGAAGGACATAAGGTAAGTGTTGGCTACCTGTTTTTTTAATTTTTTTTATATCATGCTAATTACAAACATGGCAATCACTGAACCAAGACTTCTTTAAAAGAATTTCAGGACAGAATGGACGGAAGCTACCAAAATAAAAAAAAAAGTTTTCGTTAATTTATAAAAAAGTTCGCAACAAAAGCGAATCAGTAATAGTGATTTTTGATTAGGGTTTTTATTATTATTTGGTTTCTGGTATATTTTTTTTAAACGAATAGTACTTGTAATTAAATTTTTTGTTAGGAAATTAAATAAATTATACCATACTTTCTTAATTTTTCGTTTTGCATTTAATTTTAAAAAAATTCACAAAAACCTCTAAAATAATTTTATTTCTATTTTTAAAAGGGCTACGTATATTCCCGGTCAGCGAACCCGATGAGAGACACCTTGCAAGAATGCCTCGCTGCGTTGGAGGGCGCTAAATACGCTTTTACCTTTTCTTCTGGTCAAGGAGCCACCACCAGCATTACTTCCCTTCTGAACAAAGGAGACCATTTGGTTTCTATTGATGATGTGTATGGAGGCACCAGCCGGCTTATGAGGTATGGAAATCTTTTAAATATTTCCATATTTCTGTGACTTGATGTACAATTTATTGCCTCTACCAAAGGTTGACTGGTTGAGAATGTTATAGAAATAGAAGTCAACCAGACCTCCATGGATTTGAAGATTGAGGATGGGGAGAATCTGTGAGGTCATGGTATGGTCATACAAAGTAAAAGTATGTTTATACTAATAAATACTATTTCCTTTTAATACTTGTAAAGTACGAAAACTACAATATTATTTGCATTTCAGGGAAAATCTACCAAGACATGGGATTGACGTCACATTTACAGACATTACCGACTTGGACAAGCTGGAAAACGCCATTCAAGATAATACTAAGGTAACTAAAAAAATCCTCATAACTTACACTCATAGTTTTACTAGCTAACACAAACATTCCATATTTGAACGATCGAACTAAGAACCCTCGGGTCCTCAATCTATTGTCGTCACTACGGGTCATAATTTAAAGTTTATATTAAGTTCCTCCTGCGTCTAACACACAGTATCTTAAGAAATAAACCTGATACTTGGCAAGAATAGAGAACAAACATTGTTTTAAAATTCATTTATACATCACAAGTTTATCTTGGACGTAACTGACAAGTGGTGTGGAAACACAGATACGGAAAAGTCACATGGATGTGCGGAAAACACAAGCCTGAAGTCTACTGATAAAATGCCGGTAGCAAATTGGTACAGCTCCAATGATAAACGGTTGACATGTGAGTTGTTGATACAATCAGCTGTCTGAGATTGGTAGTTTGAAATAAAAACAAAAGAATAATTCACTGAACACCGGGGTGAAACAACCACAGCGTTGTGTTTCGCCGTGTGAATGAGGTTACCGGAGGCCCAATACTTCCCCTTCCCCGATCCCAAAATCTAAAAATCCACTCATAATTACTCCTCTCTTCTTGCGAGTATCCATGGGCGGCGCTGATTGCTTACCATCAGGTAACCTGACTGCTCGTTAACCGACCTATCAATTAAAAAGATCTGAGCATTTTAAGGAACAAATCCTTGCAAAAAATCTAAGCACAACATGTTGTTCTAACTGTTTCCAAATTAGTCACTTTTTAGGCATAGCGCGGTAGACAGTAGACTGTCCTGATGGTGAGTAATCCTAACCGCTCTTGCATGTCAGGATAAACGAAAGCCTACGGCTTTTTAAGATTTAAGAGTTTGAGGAATAGGGAATGTTGGAAATTGGTAACGTTGGGAGTAGTATTAGGCCTCCGGTATCCTTACACAACACTGCTCAATGTATTTTACTAAAATAAATTATTAATTAATATTAGGTGGGTCAAATAAAATATTTCCACTACTGAATATAGTTGGAAGTACCCTTATACGGCGAAACAAAACGAAAGCGTTTTAAAGCGAAAGTTTTCTGTTAGACTATGGTATGACTACTAAGTCATAAAAGTATAACTATTAAATGAATCTCTTTTTACCGATGCGATTCCAGCGATCGTTAATTAAAGAGGAGAAGAATTGTCCTAATGGATAGTACACACCCATTTATGCATACCCAGTACATGTACATGATGGATTTTTAATCGCCAGATAAAGATCAGTTGACTGATATTCAACTGGTTATCGGTTGTTGCGTTAGCGACAATAAACATAAATAAACTAAAGGCATTTATTTTTTTAGCAATTATAAAGCAATTAAGATTAAAAATATTCATATAAAAGTGAAATTCCCAGTCTAATCTCTCTAATGATAACTCAATCAAAGTACCTAACTAGGTATGGATTCTGATAAGAAAAATAGGTACCTATAAACTTATCAAAAATATGTTATTTCCATCACAAACATGTTATGACATGTCGCAAAAAGGGGGTACGGCATTTAATTAAACGCATGATACTTATGAAATAACAATGAAAACCGACGTGAAACATCCACAGAGCTGTATTTAACCGTGTGAGTGATGTTACCGGAGTCCCAATACTTCCTCCCCCAATGCGTTCCCAATCCCAAAATCTCCGCTCTAATGGGTATTAGGGGCTTGGAGATCATTTTTTTTGTGGGCTGTTAGGGATTTAAGGATAGGGGATTTGATGATGGGGGTTTAATTTAATCATTACACGAGGCTCAATCATTACTCGCCGGGGGCGTGTAATGATTGAGCTTCTGGTAACCTCACGACGAATCACAACGTGAATGTTGCTTCATGTCGGTTTTCTGTGAGGCCGTGGTATCACGCTGGTCTGTTCCGAAGCATGGCTCTCCCACACTTTAGTCATCTAAAATGGGCTTAACAATAGACATTTTTTCCAGATGGTCTGGCTAGAGACTCCGACAAACCCCAACTGCACAGTAGTGGACATAGCTGCCACCGTCCAACTAGTGAAGAAGCGTGGTGATATCATTGTAGTAGTCGACAATACTTTCCTCACATGCTACTTACAAAGACCGCTGGACTTTGGTGCTGATATAGTGATGTATTCTCTAACTAAATACATGAACGGACATTCCGACGTCGTGATGGGAGCAGCTGTACTGAATAGACAAGAAATTGCTGATAAACTTAGGATTATTCAGAAATGTAAGTATTAAATGAATATAATAAAATGTTATGGTAGGATTGAGGAACTAATAAACATTTAAGAGATACAGAGTTCAACGAAGAAGAAATATAAGACAACTGTTAAACCAAACTAAGGGTTAGTGATACATATATTGCACACAAATAGTTGAATTAGCCACCCAACCAACGACTTGTACATATGACTAGTCATTTGAGTGAATTTCTCATTCCGCTGGAGGTTAAAGGGTAGGTAGAGGTAAAGGTAAAATCCTTATAAGGATATTCATGTCAACCTAGTTGCTATGCAGAATGATAGGTCAGGTTAGGTAAGAACTTTGAAGACTCAATCTTTAATTTTCTGTTTTAAATATCGAAACTTATAATTGGCATTATAATGCCTAAATTGTTATCTATGATACTTGTTAGCTGTTAGTTTTCCGAATAAAAAGAACAGTGAACCGCACAGGATCGTCAAGGCACATAAACAGCTTCTCAAAATGTACTTTAGGGGCTGATTGATTAAATGGCTATTTTAACCAGTTAGTTGAGGTATATACATAGTCTGAGAAAAGTTGTAATAGACATAGAATACAGTTGTAATAGACGTTGTATTAAAGGTAGGTCAGAAATAGCCGAGATAACACTATTTTCTAATGACTATGTGATATATTTTGAACATACGATAGTACAGAATGATATAGCTGTCTTCATGATTGAAGAAAGACCAACACAGTCACATAGTTAAGATTTGAAAGGTATCGTTGATTAAATAGACGATAAGTCCAAAATAATATTAAACTCAAAAAATAAAAGATAAAAGAAACATTTGTTTATAATTTATCTTATCTTTTCAGCGCTAGGAATTGTTCCTTCAACGTTTGATTGTTACCAAGTAAACAGGAGTTTGAAGACACTATCTTTGCGTATGGAACGTCATAAGGCGACGTCTCTAGTTATTGCTAAGTGGCTGGAAAAACAACCGAATGTCATCGAAGTTTTGCACCCAGGTAATGTATTTTAAGCTTTGTTGATCAGGAATGATATGAAAAACCGGCTTGAACCAACACTTACGTTATGTATTGCCGTGTCCCCCCCATCCCTAAATATCTCCAAATCTCCTATCCTTGAATCCCTAATAATCTACGGCACCGCACTTGTAGTAGCTCCTTTGGTATTAAAGTGTGCATAGGCGCCGCTGATTGCTTACGTTTGACGACCAAAAATGATCTCAATTAAGAATGAAAGATATTGTTTATATATTATGGGCTAGAACCACCATAATATAACTATGTAAACGCGGTCTGGGCCCAGAGCAGGAGAAGGAACGGGATGGTTTTTAGTCAGTAAGAGTCTGACACTCCCTCTAGCCTCCTGTTGTTCCTAAGTTACAATTAAAGCTATTGCTGAGCGTTATGTTATTAAAAATCTAGTTGATTGATAGTTTAATAAAGTTGAACTTGTTTTTTATTTAAACCTTGCCCTACACTAAGATTTTCTCATGTGTCGTGGGTGCGTTAAGAAACACACAAGCCACCTAGACCCGAAACAACAACTTGTGGATTACACAAATTGTTGTTCCGTGCGGGAATTGCCACTGCGCCAACCGTCATCATCATCATCCTGCCCTTGTCCCGTTTTATTTAGGGTCGGTGCAATATGTTTTATTCTTCCATTCTGTCCTGTCACCCGTCACGCTATCACTAACTCCTCTGTCTTCCATATCATTTCTCACACAATCCATCCATATTTTCTTTGGTCTCCCTCTCCCTCTCCATCCATCCACATTTATACTCATGGCTTTTTTTGTAACATGCGTTTCATCACTCCTTTTCACATGGCCATACCAAGACAAACAGTTCCCTTTCAACTTTTCAGCCACCGGCGCCACTTTCAAACTTCCTCTAATATAATCATTTCTCACTTTATCCATCCACTGCGCCAACCAAATTAAGTATTGGGTTTTAACATCTATATAATTTATTCCAGGCTTGACATCGCACAAAGGACATGAAGTTTCCAAGAGGCAAACGTCAGGTCACTCAGGAGTCTTCAGTTTCAGACATACAGGTGGTCTGAAAGAGTCCAGGAAACTCCTTAGTTGCTTCAAAGTGTTCATTTTGGCTGAAAGCTTAGGAGGATACGAAAGTTTGGCTGAAATACCGTAAGTTTAGCTTTTTGCTTTACCTTTGTTTCTTTATAGTTATTATGGTTACTTTCTGGTCTATATAATTTTTTCACGTTGAAACTTGCAAGTAGCTTCTAGTACTTCTGCGAAGACAGGCCGACATACTGAGACGTTTTAACATTGAATATTAAATTATTTTGTTTGACGTTCAAAAGTGTCTATTGTTGGTCTATTTGAAATTAATGATTTGAATTTGACTTTGTATAACCAAAATGTATGCTGTTGTGATGAGTAAAAATATGTACCTACATAGTAAATTGTAGCTAGCCCGTGAGTTCTAGATGTTGACCTTATTTTTTAATAACGAGAAAAGTCGATTTTAAAACTATGCGATTAAGATATTTTGATGCACCTGAAATTTTGGTGGTCGTAATACTGTTGCCACAGGCGCCTAGGTGTTGAACTTTATACGAAATTGTTATTTAAAAAAGATTATATTAATAAAGTTTAATGTGCCTACCTGAAATTTTGATAGCCACCGTTTAATATAAGCCTGAACGAAATTATATGGTTTTTAAAAATATAGGCAATTTTTGAAAAATGCACTGTCGTGCAGGTATTTATTAAAATTTATTTCTTTTATTTTCAGATCCATAATGACCCACAAATCGGTGCCTCCACCACAGAAAGCGCAGTTGGGCATCACAGATTCCCTGGTCAGGTTTTCCATTGGATTGGAAGATCCCGAAGATCTCATCGCGGATTTGGAAAATGCCTTCAAGGAAACATTTAATAATTAAGTTAGATTATAATATTTGAATGTTTTTTTTTCTAAATCATAAACAACAATCAAAATACTATTGTGTTTTTGTTAAGTCTGTATAGATTTAATAAATCCTTCCTTATCTTTTATTTTTAGTTTTTTTAAATGACGTTGCCCCACTTGGATTTTCTCCGGTGTCGTTGGTGCGTTTACAAACAAAATTTCATATAGGTACACATCACACGCAGACACAAAGTGTTGTTCCGTGCGGGAATGGAAGCCACGACACGTTGCGCGCAACCAGTTGCCCAGCCACCGCGCCAACCGTGCAGTCTTTAGTAACCTCTATTAAGATTTCAAAAACATTTTTTTTTAAATATCTGTTACACAAATAAAATTGATTTGACCTCAGAAAAAAACAATTTAATATTAACTGAGATCTGAACCAGTGACATCTTCAATATCATTCAACACACTATGCAAACAATATGTTAGCGCCTATCAAAAATAATATAGCAAGTAACATCATAAAATCACATTGCTTATTTTTTCACTAGGGGCCATTTTAATAATAATTATGTTGCATTTCGTAATAATATCCATTAGGTATGACGAATTGTTAGAACTAGATAATTAAGCAGTTACGTACTATTTTATTTTTTTTATTTTCAATATTATCGTCAACTGTGAAATACAGAATTTCAGAATAACATATAACACTATAATTTTCAATTCATGAAAGGATCTTTCTAAAAATTAGGGGTCAGAAGGATTTTAGCCCGTCTAAAGCGTAACAGTCGGTGACGGACGTCATGCAGTCGCATGCCCAATCCGATCATCATTCCCCGTTTAACCTTTGGAAAGATCGCCGTGCACGTGGCTCGCGTGGATACTAGTACTCTGGCGTGTAACGAAACCATAGCGCGATCTATCTCGATCCCAACGCCATCTATCGAGCGCGTGGTCAATTTTTGACGCTGGTTGTTACTATTGTAGTTTTTTAAATAATTAATATATAATGTCTAAGGTTGAAATAAAAGTAATATATTTTTAGTTTCTAAGGTAATTTTTATAGGCTTATAAACTTATCGTATGATATTTAATCTATTATTGTTAATTATTGTAGAAAAACATTTTTTTTATTTTTATTTTATTTACCTAGAATTAGGATTCCCACGTGTTATTTTTTTATTACAAATAAATTCAGATTTAGTTTCAATATTAAATAAAAAAAAAATAAAGATACATACGCTTACAAACATAAATAATTCGAAAAAGCTATCCCAATTTTGTGTATTACAGACATTTTTTCATTATTGTCAATTTTTTATTTCATTTTCAATTATTGTTATAGATATGACAGAAGACAGTTTGAAGTTCCATTCTGTGACAGGACAGAATGGAAGAAAAAAAAACATATTGCGCCGACTCCAAACAAAACGGGACAAGGGCAGGAAGATGATGATGATATGACAGAAGTTTGAGATTTCAATCATTACTGTGTTATAAAATTTTTTAACTAACTAAGTACTACTACTTACTACATAAGTTAAAGGTATAAGAATATTAATCATCCATAAGAATTACTTAAAAATTGGCTGAGTAAAGTTAACAATGAATATAGATACAATAGGGCCTTATCTATTCGTTCAACACAGAACCAGATAAAGGACGATTTCTTTTTAAAAAATAAACGTTGCCTCACTGTAGGATTTTCTCCTCTGTTGTGGGTGCGTTTACAAACGTACAATGTCATGACATGACACCCAGACCCGGAACAACAATTTGTGGATCACACAAAGTGTTGTTCCGTGCGGGAATCGAACCCGCGACCGTGGCAGTTGCCCAGCCACCGCACCAACCGTGCAGTCGATTGTGTCAGTACTTAAAAAAAGGCATCCTTGCATAGTCCACCATTGTGGCATTGAGTCTTTTATAAATCAGTTTAGTCGAAGTTAATTCAAGAACAAAATTGCAATAATTTTACCATTTCTTTTGTTTTTTTTTCTGTTATTGGTCGGCAAACGAGCAGATGATTATAACTGGTGGTCAGCAATCATTGTCGTCGCCGCCCATGGACACTCATTATATCAAAGGAGTTACTACAAGTACGTTGCGGCCTTCTGCAGGTTATTAGAGATTTAAGGATATAGAACATTTGAGGATTAAGGGAAGGGGGAGGATTCGAGTAACCCTCACTCGCACGGTGAAACAAGAAGTAAGTATTTTCACGCCGGTTTACTGTAAAGCCGTAGTATCACTCCGGTCGAGCCGAGCCTTTCGTGTCGAAGCATAGCTCTCCACGCTTAGAAATTGATTAATTGATTGTAAGTAGGTAATTAAAATATTTTTTTTGATTTTTTTCGTAGATGTATATCGCTGTAAGTAATGCGTAAATTGCAATTTGAGTGATCACTTTGATACCAACACGTTATAGCAAATCCAATGCAATATAAAAGCATAAGATATCGAACGTGTTACATTTAATTTTATTCGTTGTTTTAAGCCATTTCAGTGCGTTCCTAATTGTTTTTGTCACGGTGGGTGCAAAAGGTAAATTTTGTATTTTTATTTTGTGCTTTATATAAAATAATTTTAACGAGGATTTACAACTTATATTTTTTATACAAATGAACGTAATGCTATAAGGAATATTGTGCTATGATATTTACTATGTTTTTTTTTTTAAATTACGAATATTGACGTGTTTTTTGTTAAATGCAGAATTTTGAAAGTAGGTTCCAATTATTTAGAAAAAAAACTATGTTGGCAGTAAAAAATCGTATAGCCATCGTGTTCATTCCTTCATATTAATAACAATAATAAAAATAAAAAATGCGAGTGTGTGTGTGTGACTTTAACGAAATAACCTAAAATTAAATCTAAATAACATTTAATTAGCAAAAATCCTTAGTATATTTCCCAAAAATATTAAACTTGACTTGACATTGTTAGTTCAAACGTTTTTTTTTAATGCACGATTAGCGCCGTCGCTGGAACAATGGCTGCCAACAGCGCAACATTTCGCGGTTTCGAATCCCGCACAGAACAATTTTTGTGTGCTCCACATATTGTTTTTACGGGTTTGAGTGTGAAATTGTATGTTTGTAAACGCACCCACGACACAAGGGAAAATCATAGAGTGGGGCTGGGTTAATAAAAAAAAATATTCAGCAGTTTTATATAAATATGTAGATGCCAACTTTCCACTTAGATTCCATCAACTGATTCTAATAAGAACCTAACCATAAGAATTATTAACCAATAAGGTTATACAACAGTTTTTTTCGTTAAAAACATTCAAATATAATACTTATCTCATTTGATTAAAGGGCCAGTCAGCCGAGCCTTTTATTTAACGTTTAAAGGTTTTATCAAGCCCCGATAACATCTATCTAGCACTCGTTTATCATTTTTGGCCATCAATGCGTATATATGTAATGCCTATCAATCATTGAGTGATTCATAGTCCTATGGATTAATAGCTTTTTTAGGGGAAAATCATTTTATAACTTCTGTCGCCCTGGGTGAGGGGAGAAGGAGTATCAGACTCTTACTGACTCACTCCGTTCCTTCTCCTACTCTAGGCAGAGATCGCGGTACCTTATTACGCTTACCCTGCAATCCCATATGCATTAATAGCTGTGATAAAAATTCTAACCATATTCCTCAATTATTTTCTTTATTAAAACTTCAAGCACTTTTTGTTTTATAAAGGCTGAAATCGAATAAATGCGACAAAATGTAATGGGAGCTTCAGTTACGGTAACATAGTAATTTTAAACAGTTTTTTCTACAATCTAAAGACCATAAATAAAATGATGTGATTATCGTTTTACAACGGTCCATTGTCGTTGTCATCTTTATTTTAGTATGAATTATCAGTATTTTAGAAAAATAATTGATATGCAAAATAAATAGGAAAAATTAAAATATCAAGAAATCCCGTCCGACATAATGCAGTGCAGCATGTTCATAGCGATTATTCAACTCACCGTGACACTAATAAAAGTTTATTAATTTTACATTCGATATGTTCTAAATTTTATTAACAACACCTATTGTTGTATGTTGAAATTTGTCGCATCTATTCAATTTCACCCTGTATAGGCAAATTGAATGCCATAAACCAATTTGAATTTTGCGTCATCTGTGTTTAAAATAGTGTCTTTGTAATTGGAATTTATAATTGAACTAATTGTGAAAACAAGCAGAATTGTGCTTAGATATTTTATTACATTGATCTAATATTGCTTGTTTGGAAATGCTTAGATGGCGGACGAGCAAGGGTCCTTGAAACGGAAACCAGGTTTTGCTACGCTGTCGATACACGCAGGCCTCAACCCTGACCAATGGAATGGGGCGATAGTGCCACCCATCGTGCTGACTGCCATGTACAAACAACCATCTAACGGAATATTAGTAAGGTTCATACACTTATTCATTTGAAGAAACCTTTTCTTTTTTTGTGACAGGACGGCAATCGGGCATACATACGTATTTCCTGATGGTAAGCATCGGTGGGGCACATAGACACCTGTAACATCAGAGGATTTACGAGTGTCTTGCCAGCCTTTTTGGGATTGGGGTTTTAGAGAGGGAGATTTAGGGTTCGGGGGAGGGGAAGGACTGGTTATAGTAGAGTTATACCATGGCTTTATTCTGTAAAGTCATGGTATAACTCTACTGACCCACCAGACGACCGATTTATGTCCAAGCATGGCTCTCCCACACTTAAAAGATTTGAGTTATCTTTTGTAGTATTTTTAGACAGTCTTTTGTTTTAAAAATATAAGTCATATTGATGTTACGTAGTTGCCATATTAGTTCAAACAAACATTTAAAATTGCTAAAATTAAATCAGAATTTGAATTTTTCAGGGTTATACATATTCACGTACTGCGAACCCAATGAGAGACACATTGGAACAATGTCTCGCGGCGCTAGAGGGCGGTAAATACGCATTTACATTCGCATCTGGCCATGGGGTGATCACTAGTATTCTAGCCCTACTTAATAGAGGCGATCATATAATTTCTATGGACAATGTTTATGGTGGCACCGGTCAAGTTATGAGGTGAGGTTTCCAGAAATATACTCAACAAATTACTGTCTTTCTTGTTAATTATGTTTAACTTTCTAAAGAAGCTGATTGGCGACATAATTTGACTAGATTAATTACGAGTCACGATAGTGGGCCGCTTTCATCATTACATCTGCCATGAGTACTAGATAGACTACTAAATTATTTCTATGAAATATTGTACAGCGCCCTTAGCGGTCACCGGTACCCTTAGCGGTCCGATTAGCTGCGCAGTACCCAATTTTTCTGTTCAAACGGCTAACTTCAGGCTCGCCAAGATACGTTGGCCGCAATGTAAAATAGATTTCATCTATTCGATAGTCACAAATGTTATCAAACCTTTTTACGGTACGGATGTTGATACAAGATTTTGAAAAGTGTTGAGTGGGAAATTCATCAAAGGACTTCTCTTGCCCTGACTTGGGCGTCAGGGAGTCTCAGACTTTTACTGACTTAAAGCCATCCTGTTTCTTCTCCTGCTCTAGGCCGAGGCCTTGACCATCACACTTGGCCTACAACTCTGACTGGTTGATAGTATTCTTGGTATATGTCAGGATGATCATTTAGGTATCATTTATATTCATAGTTGATGTTCAAATCTGCGATTGGAAATCAAACTAAAGTAAGCCTTTAAAAATACAAAAATCAATGTTCCTATATGTATAACACTAAATTTTTATGTACTACCTACCATAATGCGTGTGATAGTATCTTAAAAGATAGTATCAGATCAGTAAAAGATTATCATTATAATCACGATATCAGACCAACATCAGTTTTGATGAATATCAAAGGACTTATGATTGTGCATTAGTATTAGTACTTAAAACATTAATTGACTTGCAGGGAAAATCTACCAAGATTGGGAATTGACCTGACGTTCACGGATGTCAGAAACGAAAGGAATTTGGACAATGCCATTCAAGACAATACCAAGGTATGTCAGGAGCAAAGTCGAATAGGAAGATATTCTTTGCGAAACTCACAAAAGAAAAATCTTACACAAAGCCATCGTACATTATTTGACGACAAGATAACTCTTTAAAAATATCCTAGCTTTATTAAAACAAAGGGAAACAATGGCAACATCAGGAAATGAATTACAATATTTAAATATAAAAATAAAAAAAAACACATTTATGGGTTATCAACCTGATAATCACCCAATGATAAGATCTGGATCAGGTCTGCGGAATTGGACCATTGTCGATATTATATTCATATCAGATCATTATCTTAATTTATACATCGACAACATCAAAAGCATTATTACCAGCAGCAAAGTTCAAAACCCATCATACCTACAAAATAAAGTAATACTACACGTGTAAATCAGAATGACCTTGAAAAGGAAATTTGAGTTGCAATTTTCTAAAAGGATGTACAAATATTACTTTTTGGCATTTTGGGTTAAAATGGAGACCTTATTACCTGGTGGTAAGCGATCAGATACTACCATGGATATCGAAAACACTAGAAGAGCGTCTAACCTAACCAAATCATCGACAGAAAAATATTGGCTCTAGCAGTTCTACTTCTATTTTTTCTTTCATTGTTTCCATTAGAACGACAGAGCGTCTCTGTCCTATCGATTGACTGGAAAAAAATATCTTTTTTTTTATATAATAGGTCGGCAAACGAGCAGACGGATTACCTGATGGTAAGCAATCAGCGCTGCCCATGGACACCCGTAACGGAGGAGTTACGAGTGCGTTGCCGACCTTTTAGGGATTAGGGATTTGGAGATTTAGAAACTGGGGAGGGATTGGGAAGGGGAAGGATTGGGCCTCCGGTAACCTCACTCACACGGCCAAACACAACACTGTGGTTGTTTCACGCCGGTTTTCTGTGAGGCCGTGGTATCACTCTGGTCGAGCCGACCCATTCGTGTCGAAGCATGACTCTCCCACACTCTAAATTATACTTTATACTAATTGATATTTTCCAGATAGTCTGGTTGGAAACACCAACGAATCCGAACTGCAGAGTGATAGACATTGCAGCCACTGTTCAGATAGTGAAGAAGCGTAATGAAAATATAATTGTGGTCGTCGACAATACATTCCTCACATGTTACTTACAACGACCACTGGACTTTGGTGCTGATATTGTTGTATATTCTTTGACAAAATATATGAATGGACATTCCGATGTTGTGATGGGAGCGGCTGTTGTTAGTAAAAAAGAGATCGCTGATAATCTGAGATACGTACAAGAATGTGAGTGCACATATGAACGAAACTGCTTTATTCATTTGTTTAAAAATTTAAATTTAGTAATGCTCAATACTTTCCTAATACAAACCCTTAGAAACGTGTTCTTATTTGTTTATTGTTTTAATCGATTTTTTATCTGTAACCCTTAAGTTATGTCTCAAACAAAAGTAATTGTAACTATGTACATACGATAGTTCGAAATTCCACAGATGAGTTAAAAAATATTTTTAATGTTTATCATCAGTCTACAGATCTACAAAAAAGAAAATAACAAATAAATAATATTTTAAAAACACTTTATAAGTTAATGGTACCTGCATACTTGTACTGGTACCATCAAATACGAGTATAATGTAATGGTTCCTATATTTTTTTAGCTTATGGTAGTGTGCCATCCCCCTTTGACTGCTATTTAGTCAATAGAAGTCTGAAGACTCTTTCTCTGCGAATGGAGCGTCATAAAGCAACAGCTCTAGTGGTTGCTGAATGGCTGGAGAAGCATCCAAATGTCGTTGAAGTTAATCATCCAGGTAACGTCAGCCCAGGTTCACTTACTGCTGAGAGTATCCTTTACCTGTATCTGCAATTTTCCTTGGCTGTACTTCTTTTCCATGTACCATGTACGGTTACCGTGTGAGTGAGGTGACCGGTGGCTCAAACCTTTCCCTTCCCCACTACCTAAATCTCCAAATCCCTAATCGCCAAAAGGTCGGGAACGCACTCGTTACTCCTCTGTTGCGGCGCTGATTGCTTTAAACCGATCCAAAACTCTATAACTAAATATAATTTATAAGAATAATAAAATATGACGATAAGCTTATAATGTATATGAGTACAATTTAAGCTTACAATATTCCAGGACTAAAGTCACACAAAGGACACGAAATCTTCAACAAACAGACGTCTGGGCATTCAGGAATCTTTAGCTTCAAGCATTCTGGTGGCTTGCGAGAATCAAGAAAACTCCTCACTTGCTTTAAAGTGTTCCTTGTGGCTGAGAGTTTAGGAGGATACGAGAGTTTGGTAGAGATACCGTAAGTGGCATTCTTAATATATTTTTTGTTAAAAAATGAAGAAGAAAGATATAGTGTGAGAGAGGAAGAGAAATAAGAAATAACGAAGTAAAACTTCATAATTTTGCTTACCGCTATGCCTATTTTTGGGTACCAAAAGATTCTACGCAGAATAACATACCTACATAAACTCAATTTTTTTATGGCCAAAACAGTTGTGTAAAGTATATTTTTGAGATGTAACCTCTCGTCTGACTGTATATGAAACATAATAGAAAAAACATTGTTTCACGTACATCAGTCCACTGGCATATCACGGCTTAAACAAAATTTTGTAAGCTGTCTTCGCATTCAAGGTCATACAAGTATCCTATAACTAATTTCCATAATATCCTTTCAGAACATTCAAATCTATTCATATGATTTTTTCCAGATCAGTAATGACACATAAGACGGTGCCTCAATTACAAAAAACAAAACTTGGTATCACAGACGCTATGATCAGAATTTCCATTGGGCTGGAAGACGCCGAGGATCTCATTGCAGATTTGGGAAATGCTTTCAAGAAGACATTTATCTAATTAACATTTAAATTAGAAACTACTCTTTTGTATAATTGCAGTTTTTTTTTCCTGTACCTTTGGATCTATATTTTTTTTTTAGAAAATCTTTTCCCCAAATTAGGATTTATTCCTGTGTCGTGGGTGACCCAGACCCGGAACAACAATTTGTGGATCACACAAAGAGTTGTTCCGTGCGGGAATCGAACCAGCGACACGTTGCACGGCAGCCAGTTGCCCAGCCACCGCACCAACCGTGCAGTCGCAATATAGGTTATAAGTATTCAAATCGTTATATAGTAAGTATAAAAATGACGTATTTCTTTAAATTGCAATCAATGTATAACAATTTCATATGATGATTATTATTATTAGTCTATGATAACCTGATAACTGCAAAATTGTATCAAACATTAATGAGATTAAATTCCAGTTTCCATCTCACTTCTGAAAAAATTGAAACATCGTTTAAATTCTTAAAAAAGTAATACCCAGAAGTCTATTCCAAGACTCCGAGCCAAACAAGCGACGCAGATATTGCACGAAAAAAGGCAACAGACATTTTGTAACGCGTCCCTTTCTACAGTACGTCACACAGAATCCTTTGTAAGTCTCTAACGCATGAATAACTCGTTTATTAATCCTTGTTTTTCTTTCCCCCATCTGCGGAACAAACTTCATAAAACAATTTATTTGTTAGAACAAAGCGTATTCCGGGACCATTCCCGTATTGCCCATCCCTAGTTCCGTGTTTACGCCTATCGGTCTTATTATGTATTTACTGAAGCATGCAGACGTACTGTCAACAATTTTGTCTCATGCCTACCTTTTTCTTTGTTACTTTAACCCCTAAATTATTTCAGCTTTCGGGTGTTTGGCATTTAAATCTCCGAGAAAAAAGGTTTTATTGGATAAAATGTTTTGAAGACTATATCCTGAGTTAGAAGTGCGTTTCGCACTCTGATCTAAAAGCCGGGATGGAAATTCCTCATTATGTTCTGTGTTGATAAAAATAGAGAAATGAGTTTGACATTTTGATGTGCTACTTTTACCTTTGCGTCTTAGGAAAAGAATGAGTAACATTTTTTCATTGTGATGATATTTATGCCATCTATAATTGTAATTTATCATTTTAATATTCTATCATATCATGAAATTGATAGGTAGTTGATTGCCACAAATCATCACATCAAGTTATAGCAAAATATTATAATCTAATTCAATAGCGGAAATGCAAATCAGTGTCTGAAAATTATTTTAGATCCATTTACAACTACTAATAGTTTACCATGGCAATAACAATTTCCTACTATTTCCCTTTCCACACAGATGGCATATAAACTATAAGCAAAAACATATTATTTACTGGACGACTGTTTGAGACCAGTAGTAAATTATTTCCTTATTTATTTGCGATGGGAGTAAATTTGAAATCGGATCATTTATTTCGTAAATGAATTGTAAAGTCTTTTATTTCATTCGGTCGGTCAGTGGTTAGTTCTTGTTATTTTCGCTCATTAGCTGTGTCCTCTCTGGTTGCAAATGGCTGAGTTATTTTATTTCGAACGTTTCTTGGCGGAGTTGTCTTCGAGCTATTATCATTTTATTTTATGTTCTGTCTAGTCCTTGAGAAGACTTGTTTAATGTAATGATTGTCTTTAAGATGGACACAAGGTTCCTTGGCTTTTCATTTTTTATATGGAGGAAATCATCCAATGAATTCTTCCACCCTGTTTGGGGCGATTGGTTCAGACTCTTACTGGCTTAAAGTAACCTCTTCCTTCTTGGTACATTATTGCCTGGACATCGGCCTTTTTGGGCCACAACTTTGGTTGTTTTAGAGCTCTTTGAGGCGCTCGTGATCATACTAGGATCTGTTAGAAAGTCTTAATCAAGATTTACAATAGAAGTGATGCTGGCCCTCAGTAACAAAGAACATCTCTTACCTTACCTTGGCCTTGAGGCCATCACAGAATGATAAGGAAGGTCTATCGAGTATGATGTGTGATGTTCTTCATTATGAATTCCGGGTTCGACATAATTTAGCTTTTGCTAAAAACCTACAGGACCCATTTAAATTACTTGTTTATCCATTTCAGTACACAAACGAGTGCTTACCCAACAATGCTTTTGAAATAAGGGTTATTTAGAGCTTCTAATTAACGCAGTACTTAATGGTATTCACGGAGGCTAAGAGCAAAACTTCTAAATAAAGTATTGTTCTTGAAGGCTGGCTTTAAAAACTTTATCCTTAAATCATCTGTGAACGGAATGCCTGTTGTAAAGTATACCAAGTCTTTGCTTTATGTTCCTTGGCGAGCTTAACTTTTGGCGAGGCTTTAGAGGGGAACCAGATTAGTTCTAGAATGTTCTAGCTCGTTGCCGAAAAAAAGGAATTTGGATGAGTCACTGCTTCTATAGGATTCTTCTGTAAAATTTGAGATCTCGCGCCTTGCATTTGGATTATTTTCATTATCAAGTAGCCAATAATAAAATCCGTATTTGACAATATTAATATAAATAAGTATAAAGTTTACTTACGTAACTGTCCGACGAGGTAACTCGACTAATTTCACGACAGACTGGGAACTTTATTCTAGAGCAGAGTTTTGAAATAATGTATCCCGAGTGACTTTTAACAGATTTTGTTTAGAAAAAGCTATTATATATTCATCTGGATTTTGATAGCACCTGGTAACAAGATTATATTATGTTATATGTAATTACCGAGCTACTGTGACATAAATAATGTCACATTTTTAATAAAATTCTTTTCAGAGACACGATCCATAAATTCCACCTTCAACCTGTATAGTAATTGAGCTCAAAAAAGTATTATGTAGCAAGAACGAAGCCGTAAATTAGGGAGGGGAAGTAAATAAATTATAAAGCAACATTATATCGATATATGCGTAGAGTGGTAATGTCAGTTGAAACTAAAGTATCGATAATATTTTATTTAAGTGCATTCTTACAAATTGACATATTTTGCTTTCTCTATTTGAATTTCTTAATTGTTGTACTCACTCTCATTTCAACTTAACTTTACGTTGTAACAGATCTTGGCCATGGGCGGCGCTGATTGCTTACCATCAGGTAATCCGTCTGCTCGTTTGCCGACCTATTAAATAATTAAAATAAAGTATAAACTCAAATCTATTTTTTTACAAATCGCCGCTCTCTTAACCTTCAAATTACCATAACACAGAAATAGATAATAATATTATATTTTTAAACCAATTTATTAAAATATTACGTTGATTTACACAAGTACTTTTTATTTTATTCATGTAAAAAAATATCTACAACGCTACATTTTCATTCGCCGCCCAACCCTACGTCGTTTTGTGAGGCGTCTTCAATGGGTGATCTTATTTTTCTCGATATTTTTACGCGTCATCTAAAACGTTAAAGTTTAATGTTCAGGATGGCTCTAGATACGAATTCACATGAATATGAAGGATATAATGCTATCGTAAATCTTTAGTGGCTATTAAGACTTGTACTTTATATTTTAACATCGTGAGTAGAGCAGTGTATAGTACTGTTCTAGACTTTAGTTTTGCATTAGGCTTGAGGTTTCATGTATCCGTAAAGGATTTGTGGATAAGCACTATTGTAAAACACTTATCTTGTACAATTAATAATTTAATTTATTGCCATTTATTATATAAAAAAATAATTATTTTTCTTAATGAAAATAGATTGATATCGTGTAATTGAGATTATAGGTTGATTGGTTTGTACTTGGAATAACGTCTTGATTGTTTCTTTTTTTTTATAAAATGAATGATATTGCTTAGGATTCAGTTCTATACTACAACTGACAATTGTTATTTAGTAAAACTTAGCAGTATAAAATTAGGATTGGCTTTATATCAGTTCTCTGCGGAACTTAAAATTCTGAAGTTACAAAAGTATTTTTTAGTCCTAATTAACAACCCTAATTGGCACAGAAAAAAAAGTATGTGTCCGGAATCAAAACCCCCCGCTATGAAACATTTAAATACCATTACTATCCAACCAAATTAAATACACCATTAACCACTACCGCAAACTTGTAATAGCGACCGCCTTCCTTATATAACCAGGCTATACCTTACCGTTTACATCCAAACCATAACCGTATCTCGGTATGTAACCTCATAAATTGCATGGCAACATGTTCCTAAGATTTCCAAGTCATTTGCCACGGTATATTGACGATATGGCAGTTTCGAATCGTTAACTTATCGATAGACGACCGTACAAGGCTTTAGTTGAATTTTACTTTAAAAGGCCACGTAAGTAGGCGTGATGTGTGTTTCTTGATTGGGATTTTTGATTGATTGTCTTGTTAGGTAGCTTTCCTAGAATGTAGTGGCAAATGAACTGATGGACCACTTGGAAGTATTCAATCGATTTCGCCCTTCGACATCCGCAATACTGACGAGTTACAAATTTGTGGGTAAATAAAAAACACTTTGTGGGTTGTTAGGTAGGTAGGTGGTGGGGATTTAGTCCTCCAGTACCCCAACTCAAATGGCGTTTTACAATGGCTTATTCGTACGGAAGCATGACCCTCCTACACTTAGAATTTTAATTTCGATCAGTTCAAGAGTTGTTTTTTTATTTTTTATTTATTTATTAGGTCTACCTAAAATGTTGTACATGAAAGCATGCAACAACAGTAATTACAATTAATCAATAAGGTACAATGTAAACATTACTTAAAGGTAAAGACCGTATGTTATTTATGTATTCTTACAAAAACCTAGACAATCATTACTAGTTTTTCTGGCAAACTCGCAATTGCCTGGTATTTTCATTTGCGCTTTCCTGCGTGTGTTTATAGTAAAAAAATAATATATTATGATACTTATCGCTATATGAAACAATTATGATACTTACATTTAATAAATACCCCAAACTCGAGACTAACTCAGTAATGAAACGTTTTTCAAACAAAACTCAAATCTAAGCACTCCACTACCAAAACAAAAAAACAAAAACGCAATATTGTCTAGATACTAGAAATAACA